CCCATCGATTTAATGTTTTCAAAAAACATTTACATTCTTGGAATGCCAGAATTGTAACTGTTAGTTTTGCTTGTGTCCTCAAACTGTCAAGCCATTAAATGACTGGGGTCATAGCTGATCACATGTGCAGCACCGTGGCAGTTGCAGATCAAACAGAAGAAGCTTTCTTGGCTGTAAAGGATAGGAGGGTTTAATTCCGCTTTTAGGCTGTCAGCAGATCAGCCTCTACAAACTCAGCAGTGCCTACAAATGCCTAAAAATCAGAAAGCAATTGAGCATGTGGGGGCTCAGTGTAGATGGCCATACATGTATAGATTTTTGGACGAGAATATGCGTACGAACATTTTTTTGTACATTCAATAAATGGACGAATGTATTTTTAAAATTGAATGTTAAAACCGAGTGAAATTTACAAATGAATGTAATTTCAGAATGAAAAACACGTAGGGGTTTATTTACTAAAGCTGGAGAGTCCAAAATCAGACTCCCTTCTGCATAGAAACCAATCAGCTTCCAGGTTTCATTGCCAAAGCTTCATTGAACAAGCTGAGGTTAGAAGCTGATTGGTTTCTATGCAGAAGGGAGTCTGATTTTGGACTCTCCAGCTTTAGTAAATAAACCCTATACTGTCTGAAAATTTGTTCAAGAACGGTTTCTATTCTGCTCCTTCCAATTTTCCTGTCGCAGCGGTCGATCACGAATTAGATTTGACACCACTAAATTAAAAAATCGAAAAGACATTCTTAAAACAGACATTTTCTAGCAAAAATCTAAACTTGTATGGCCAGAATTACTCTTATGCCTAGTACACACGATCAGATAATTGGACAGATTATATTTTTTTTGTTGCATGTCCGTCGCATATCAAAAATGAAGAGGTTACCAAAGTTATGAAAATTCTCGTATGACAGGATAAAACTTCGGATTGATTGTATTGTAATAGATTGTTTTGTATTGTAATTTATTCTTTCATGTATGATCTTAGTCACTCAATTTTTTTTCCCCGACAAATACTGTACTGATTAAACGAAAATCATTCACACTGTTATTGTACAAGAAAAGGTTTGATGCTGGTGTGACCGGCTGTTGAAAGCTGTGTACTAACGATCAGATTATAGTACGATCCCTCGGATGACAAAAATAGTTTTCAGATTTTCTGATCCTGTTTATGGGGCATTAGGGAACCTGGGCAAAAAAGTCTTCTAGTCATAACGTGACAGGACATTAGTGTGATCAATGAATTGTGGAAAGTTTTAAATGAAAGAATAAAGCATGGGACGTAGCAGGAGTATTTGACATCCACGGTGGATTATTTTCAAACCCACTATATGAAAAATTATTTTCGGTAATAATCAGGAACTGAAACCTATACTAATAATGACCCGAAAATTGTAGTTTCTACACTAGTGGTCAGTGGGAAAATGGTTCCTTACATTGGTAATGTCAGTGAAGTGACCCCTGTTGGTGGTGGTCAGCGAGAATTATGCCTTTGCTTTGTCAATTCGTGAAAAAGGGCCCCCCCCTTTACCTTGAGGGTCAGTCTAGAAGTGACACCTTTACATTAGACATCAGCTGGAAATCCCCCCCCCCCCCCCCCCCCCCCCCCCCCCCCCCCCCCCCCCCCCCCCCCCCCCCCCCCCCCCCCCCCCCCAACAACCTCTGGAGGAACCCTCGGTGAGAAAAATTGCTGAGTATATAAAAGACATTTTTCTGGTTACATGAACCCACACACAGCTGACTGAACTATTGTCAGAAGTGAAAGTTGGCTTTAGAGGTCCTTTTACCTGTCAAAGTTTTTCAAAAAATCTTTGTTGTGTATTGTAGCGAGTTAGATTCTGCTGCTCTTTTCTTCCCGTTTTTTAGGTTTGAAAGTTTTCAGAAAGAATCAAACTTCTTATAGATGGGAAACACAATGGCCGCAGTTCTTTCTGTTGTCCCTACCTATTTCCAGCCACGAGTGGTGTCTGTTCAGGGTTTTTGAATCTTTAGGCCTTTGTAGCGCTGTCCTGTCATGAAATTTAGAAAGAAGAGGAACTTTTTATGTGGATTAACGTTTGTGATCTAGATTTAAAGCGGCAGTGTGTTGGATCAAAGTAGATGTGGGCCCAATCCTTTTTCTATAATCTTTTTAACACCTTCAAGCGGAACTCAATAGCTACAAAGGAAATGTGTGCTCATTGTACACACACATAGGGGGTTATTTACTAAAACTGCATGGTGCAAAATCTGGCGCAGCTCTGCATAGAAACCAATCGGCTTCCGGATTTGATTATCACAATTTAATTTTACCAATCTGAAGCTGATTGGTTACAATGAACAGCTGCACCAGATTCTGAGTACTCCTAGTTGTTACCTGTAGAGAGCAGAGCTGCTGGTGAAGCCCAGCTGGCCCCACCCACTACATAAAACTACAGCAGGGGCGGAGCCAAGACCAGGCACTCTGCACAAGCAGTAGTGAGCGGACCGAAAAGGATAAGTCCACCTTTTAGAAAAAAATAAAAGCACATTTTTTGCAGGTAAAAAAAGTGCATTTATTTTTTGTCTGCAGGAGCCTATAAACCATTATACCAGCGATCAGCAGATTGCTGGTACCATGTAGGTTCCCTCCTAGATTGTAAGCTCTAAGGAGCAGGGCCCTCGAACCCCTCGTGTATTGCACTGTATTGTTACTGTACTGTCTCGTGTATTGTCTCCCATTATAATGTACAGCGCTGAGCAAACTGTTGGCGCTATATAAATCCTGTATAATAATAATGTAGGTCTCTTGCAGATCTTTCGGTATATCTGCTTGCTAGTACAGGATGTACGAGCAAGCAGATATACTGACAGGAAGAATGAATGAACTACCATGACACTTCACAGCGCCGTGGTAGTTCTTTGACGACTACGTGTGGTCAGCTGCTAAGGCTGTTGGGACTTGTAGTCTCTCATTCACAGATGACTGTGAATGAGTGATGAGGCCGTGTGGGCAGAGCCCTGCATGGCCATGTTTTTTTTTTTTTTTAAAAACTAGCGAGGGGGAGAAAATCGTCTGCTAGCTGTCAATGCGGGGGCTTGGGAATGGAGCGGGGGCCGGTTGGATCGTAACATGTTACATGTTACGCCCTGAATATGGGTATAACATGTAGCATGTTACGAAAAGTGAACTTTACCTTTAGGCTGGTGCTTCCTGTAATTAAAAGGATAAGTCTCACACTGGATTACTGCACAAATCTGGAAGGAATACACAAAATACACCGAGATTCAAGGAAGAATACACACAATGAATAGATTTAGACAATATTTATTTCTTTACTGGTTTATTTCAGGTACTTGTATAGCACCATCAATTTACACAGTGCGCGCTCTCTCTCTCTCTCTCTATCTATCTATATATATCTATCTATCTATCTATATATATATATATATATATATATATATATATATATATATATATATATATATATATATATAAAAATAATATGGGGTGTACAGTCTAAGGACCCTGACTCGCATTCATACATACACAGACTAGGGCCAATTTGAACCGGAGCCAATTAACCCACCAACATTTCATTTGGAGTGGGATGCAACCGGAGTACCCAGAGCAAACTCACATAGGCACAGGGAGAACATACAAACTCCAGGCAGGTGGTGCCAGGGTTAGCACTTCCACCTGGAAGTACTAAGGTTGCTGGTTCAAATCCTAACCATTAATTCACTGTGCTGCTTTAGCCCGGGGTTAGTCTTTAACAATTTTTTAATTAGGTTTGGCTTCAGACAAAAAAAAAAAAAATCTGTTTATTCTGCGCATTTTTAAATGTACTTACTCTTTTGACTCACTACCTTTGCTGGAAGTCTATTCCATGCACCTATATTCTAAAGTAATACTTCCTAACATTATTCTTTTTTGCTTTCCTCCTGCTCGTTTGATGTCATGTCACTGTGTTCTTATGCTCCACTTTATATTGAAAATTCTGTCCTCCCGTACCTTACTGATGTTGATCATGTATTTTAAAAATTTCCATCTCGTCCCCGTTTCCTTTTTATTTATGTTTCCTGGAGTATACTCCTCCACTTGCGCTTCGGAAGGCTTTACCCCCTTCATGACCAGGCCATTTTTTGTTATCCAGCACTGCGCTACTTTAACTGGCGATTGTGCTGTCATGCAAAATGTAAATTCTGGATTCTTTGTGCCATTTTTGCTGCTAGTCTCTGGATGCATCCTGTCTTATGAACATCTTTTTGTAAGTGACTTTTGAACTGGACATGCAGGTATCATTCAGTGAAAACTACTCGGTAGCTGGGCTGTATCCCTGGAGCGGTAGAACATAGAAAACATAGAAGAGCCGTGGCAAAAAAAGACTGAGTGGACTATCAATGCTTAGTGACCTCACTGCCGGACCTGCGGTGTACATGGTGACATCAGTGAGGTGTGTGTGTGTGTGTGTGTGTGTGTGTGTGTGTGTGGTGGTGGGGGGGGGGGTTCTGTTGTATGGAGATGAAAACTCCTGCTTTTAATGGTACTTGAGACCAAAATGAGCATTTAACTCCTGCGGTGGGAAGCCCCACTGCAAGAGTAGTTTTGATTTTACCCTGGAGTTCAGCTTTCTGTTGACGGACTCTCTAATCTCTGCTGGAAGTCTGTTCTAATCATCGAACAGCACTTCTAGTAAAATACTTTCTTAGGTTAGTTTTGAACTATCCCGCTTCTAGATTGAGGTCCTGTCCCTGTGTTTTTGCTGTTGGCATCATGTTGAAAATACTGCCCTCCTGATCTTTATTCACATCCTTCATGTATTTAAAGTGGCATTAAACCATTAGATTTTAATCACCTCCCACCCGCCATATAGTCCAATGACTAGGCAAGGCGGTTCTCTCCTTCTGGGAGGACGTCATATGACGTCCTCCCATTCTCACCGCGCATGCGCGGCTCAGGAAGTGCGCAGAGCGACGATCGGCGGTGCGCTGTGTCCCTTGGACACAGTGGATCACAGAAAGAGCGGAAGATGTCGGTCTTGTGATCAGCTGTGTCCAATCACAGCTGATCACATGTAAACAGGGAAATGCCAGTTATCGGCATTTCTCTCCTCTCGAGCTGTCACGCTGACAGCTCATGAGGAGAGGAGAGCCGGTAATCGGCTTTCCCCGAAGGGGACATGTACACTGATCATTAGGGCACTGATGATCAGTGTGCCCTGATGATCAGTGTAGCCCCAGCAGTGCCACCTGTCAGTGTCCATCAGTGCCTTGTGTCAGTGCTCATCCATGCCAACTGCCATTGCCCATCAGTACCACACCAATGCCACATCACTGCCTACCAGTGCCCATCAATGCCACATATCAGTGCCCATCTGAGCTGCCTTTCAGTGTCACCCATCAATGCCAGTCAGTGCCGCCTATCAGTGCTGCCTATCAGTCCCCATCAATGATGTCTATCAATGCCCATCAGTGCCTCCTCACCAGTGCCACCTATCAGTGCCCATCAATGCAGCCTCATTAGGGCATATCAGTGAAGGAGAAAAATCACTTATTTACAAAATTTTATAACAAAAACGAAGAAAAAACTTTTTTTTTCTTCAAAATTTTCAGTGGTTTTTGGTTTAAGAAAAATAAAAAACCCCGAGGTGAATAAATACCACCAAAAGAAAGCTCTATCTGTCACAAAAAAATGATAAAAATTTCATATGGGTACAGTGTTGCATGACCGCGCAATTTTCATTCAAAGTGTGACAGCGCTGAAAGCTGGAAATTGGCCTGGGCAGGAAGGGGGTAAAAAGTGCCCGGTAGGCTTGTGGTTAAATGCATTCAGCAGTTGATTTAATCCCTTACGGAGTATGCAGCTTATTGGTCTTTTAATCCTTGCCTATGTACTTGTTTTAAGCTTTTGCTATGATCGCCACTCCAGGTGTGCTGTATTGTGGTGGCTTCTTTGTCATGCAGCATCCTATGGAGCCACCCTTCCATGCAGGGACTAGAGTTGTCTCCCTACACTGTGTGCATCAGTAGAAACACACAACCCCATATTGTAGGATGGTAAGGCACTCCCATGCTCCTCACTCCTCCCCCTCCCTTCTCCAAAATATCAGAGGCTGCACAGTCAACTCTTAACTGTTTCCTGTGAAGACCGAATGTTCAGGGAAGCAGAACTGCGATAGCAGGAGCCAGCAGTAGTGAAAGTGCTAAACTGCAAGTGATGGAGTAGGAATTTTAACAAATAATTTACTGGGGAATGTTTATTTTATTGTGCCATGTGGGTCAAGCTAAAATAACGCTGAGGGTTTAGATCAATCAGAGTGACTTGCGAGCCACAGGTGTGATAATTACTAGAGGATCGCAAACATGAAACACATAACTACAACTGTGTTGGAAATATCTACAAATATATGTTGCGCTCCTAAATACTTCTCAATAAATAATAATTAAATGTATTACCATTAAATTAATTCAAATTATGATACAAATAACTAATAAAAGTGTATAAATACCAAAAAATATTTATATAGATAATTTCAACTAATCAATCTCCTCCAAATAAATATCAAAATAATTCCACATAAAATACTTCTCTAAAAAAAAAATATTTTACCAAGTGCTCATAAATCATCTATTAGTGACATGATGTACTTACGAAATACCCTCAATTTCATTTATATTCATAATACCCTCATTTAATATAATAAAAATAAGGGTTGAGGGTTATTAGTTGGTTTATTATTTTTATTATATTAAATGAGGGTATTATGAATATAAATGAAATTGAGGGTATTCGTAAGTACATCATGTCACTAATAGATGATTTATGAGCACTTGGTAAAATATTTTTTTTTTTAGAGGAGTATTTTATGTGGAATTATTTTGATATTTATTTGGAGGAGATTGATTAGTTGAAATTATCTATTTAAATATTTTTTGGTATTTATACACTTTTATTAGTTATTTGTATCATAATTTGAATTAATTTAATGGTAATAATTTAATTATTATTGATTGAGAAGTATTTAGGAGCGCAACATATATTTGTAGAATGCTGAGGGTTTATTACTACTAAAGGTTTCAACCATGCCCCCCCCCCCCCCATTTCCCTTTAATTCCTCAAGATTGTACATATTATATTTCTCAGAATGTTCTCCTATTTAAAGTGTGTGTTTAATCGCCGTGCCCCATACAAGTTGTGCATTCTTTGTGTGACTTTGCGTTGTCCAGACACGGCTGTGCCGCCTTCAGTTCCTCCTCCTGTGTCCCCGAAGCTCGGCGCCGTAGTCGGTGACAGCGGAAGAGGGCGCACACTGTGTACTCTGACACTTAAACGAGCAGAGGTTTAAAGTCTCCTCACATCTCGCTCGCAGTCGGCAGACGAGATACATGAATACTTGTGATGTGATCCCCTGGGCTGTCATGGGCACACTGTCTTCTCACATCAAAGCTTGCTCTGGCAGACAAGTCTTGCCGGTGATGAGGCAGTTGCAAAGTTCCAAGCCACAAAATCTGCTTTTGAGGGGCACAGCTAGGAACGCGTTAGGCGCTGCCCTCTATGCCTGTCGCTTCCTGATTACTGTTTTTCTTTCTTTTTTTTGCCGTTCTATGAGTGCAAATAACATTAATATTTCAGCAACTGCTCAGTAGATTTTCAGCATTATAGGATTTGGTGGAAAAAAAAAAAAATCAAGATTCAAACATGTCAGTTTATGGATAGAAGGAAAACTATCCTATCCAATTTGTTATGAGACGAGCATCCATTATTAAAGCTGAACTCCAGGCACACAATCTTTCATTTACATGAATTCTACAATAGTCACAAAGGACCTAAATCATCTGCACCAAATGGCTTTTAAAACTCAGATTTGTATCTTGTAAATGTGTTAGTGACATGACTGCTGTGCTGTACATGGCCTGCACAGAGAGCAGAAATGTGGGAGGGACCAGTGGCTCAACCCACTATAGGCTGCCTGCAGAAAACTGCAGGAGGGGGTGGAGACCAGACCAGTCACCTTGCAGAAGGAGAGAGTGCTGCAGTGATCGGTCTTTAATACAGGAAGTTCCTGCTCATAGACCAAGTTTCACTCCAGATTGATATTGCTGTTACTGGGCGGGCAAAGGTTTGTACTTGTAGCATGTCAAGGCTCCATGCTTTGTGAAGTGCTGTCTGAGGACATGCTTACAGGAGAGGAGTGCTGCGACGACCTCATCCCTTTTGCTGCTTCTCTTTCATTGTCCAGTCACAGGCTGGGAGCAGGGAGGCTCATGGACCGGGTTATATTGCTTAACCCGTTGAGGACCGTAAGGTTTTGGAACTCCAAAACAATCAATTTTTTTTGTTTTTATAGTTCGTACACTTCAGTTGCTGTAACTAAGCCATTTCATGAAATAATTGGCAAAAAGCTAGATCCATTTGTTGTTTGTTGATAAGAACTAATATTTTGACTCAAACCAAAAAAAAAAAAAAGAGTTTTAAATTCTTAATCAGATGATACACGCAATTACAAACATGGGACAAATACGTCCCTTGGTCCTCAAAGGGTTAACTGGGCAGCACAGCGGCTAAGTGGTTAGCACTTCCTCCTGGCAGTACTCGGGTCATTGGTTCTTATCCCAGCCACGGTACCACCTGCCTGGAGTTTGCATGTTCTCCCTGTGTCTGCGTGGGTTTCCTCTGGGTAATCCGATTTTCCTCCCACACTCCAAAGACATGCTGGTAGGTTAATTGGCTCCTGTCTAAATTGTCCCTAATATGTGTATGTATGACTGTGAGTTAGGGACCTTAGATTGTACACCCCTTGAGGGTTAGGGGACGAGACCCCTTGAGGGTTAGGGACTGATGTGAATGTACAATATATATGTAAAGTGCCGCGTAAATTGATGGCCCTGAAATAAATAAACTGCAGTGTAGTTTGCAGAGACCTGTGTTTTTTTGATAGGAAGGTGGGGGTGTGGAGCGCTAGATCCCTTAGTGCACTGTAAAGGAAACCGTACCATTTACAACATATTGCATGGTACTTTTTTTTTTTTTTTTCTATAAGTTTATTAAAATATCAAATTACATTTCTTTCTTCTTTATGCACCATAGTGTTTTCTATGCAGTGTAGTGCATCCCAACACGCTGTAGTGAAAAAAGTAGTTCATGTCCCACACAATGTGGTAGTTGAACTGAACGCATAGGACACGGGGATAATTGCCCTGTCTGTGTGATGGGCTGCTTTGGGTAAAGTGGCCCTTCATAGTGCAAGCCATTACGGTATAAATGGGCCTTTAAAGTAAATCTAAACCCCCAAATGGATGCCATGGATACACGGTGTACCTAAAACAATAACCTTTTCTAACATAAAATACTGCTTGCATTCACCTGCCGTTCTTAGCTGTCAGAATGACAGCCGGAGTGGTTGTGTAAACATGCTCTCAAAAAAACGGACCCTTTGACAAAGTTACATTGTTGAGACTGGCAGTAGATCTAAAAAAGTAAAATTTTTACTTTTGGTATTTATGGTTTTTCATTCATCTGCTGGGGAGAGAAAATAAAATTTTTGTTTTGGTTGAACCCCTCAATAACCTCTAGTTTGTCCTAAATATACCTAATTAACAGGATCTTTCCCTTTTTTCTTCGTTTTTGTTCAATAATTTTCTAGTGATGCATTAAAGAAAAGCGCAAAATTGGGGGGAAAAAGTCTTTATTTCCTGTATATACATTTTTGTAATGCTTTGTACCAAAATCATAATTTTAAAGTCAAACAGGGCAAATTGTAGAAAAAATAACTGCAACAATCTTTTTTTTTTTTTTTTTTTTTTTTTTAGCAGGTGATAAAAAAAAAAAGCACTCATTTTTTCCTAGTTTGTTTTTTTTTTCACGTAATGACAGAGATATTGCCAAATAAAAAGGCGCATAGCAGAAAATTGCTTTGTTTGATAGGTGGTGTACAGGTATAAGAACTGACCTGGTTACAGAGAAACTTAAATTCCCAAATCCAACCGTCTCCCTTGTTATGCTGGATTCTGTAAAAGCAAAAAAAAGAAAACCCTCTACTCTAAAGTAGCACTCTACTCCTTATATCATTAGCTCTGTGCTGTTTGGCAGGGGTACCTGGATCTCAAAACCAGCAGAACAGAACTACATGCCTTTTGGCAGGTAAAACATACAGAATATATTAGAGTGGGAAATGATAAAACCCATGTCACATTTGAATGCTGTCTGGCACAGATTGTCACCAAAATAGTAAAACAGGTGGGGGGGGGGGGGGGGGTCTTCTGAACAGGGGATGTCTGACACACCTGGCAGTGAAAGCAGAATGGGGATGACGGTGTCAAAGTCGGTGATAAAAGCTCCCATCGTTTTTACTTTACAGCTTTAGTTGTAGAAATACTGTCATGTATTTCCTGTCAGCACTGATGTACGTCTGTTACGGTAACTTCTAGATGAAAGAATTGTTTTTTCTTTTGTGATTTTCAAAAGTCAAGTATGTTCATCACTGTTGGCTGATTTTAAAAACCCCTCCATGTTATCCGTTGGTGTGAAAGTAGAAA